CTGCAAGGACCACTTAGCCGGAGCGGGGCCCGTCTCGGGGCCGGAGATTGGAGCCAGTGCTGGGCATGGTGCCGCTCCTGCGCCCACTGGCTCTTTTTGTCAGCTGGCCATTTGCATCCCTGGGGGGCTGCTCGGCCCCCTTCTCCTGGGAGCTGCTTCTTGGCACCGGGCGGCAGCGGAAGCGACCCTGGGCTCCTCTCCACCGGCACTGAATGGTGTCTTTGTTGGGGAGCCTGGCGGCAGCTCGGGGCTGGTGGGGAACTGCTTGGCCTTGGCCACTCCCGTCAGTCCTGGTGCTGGGGGGCTCTGCCCACCAGCAATGTCCAGTCCTTCCTAGGGTGGGGGTATGGGGATGCCGCAGCAGGGATGGGATGTGGGGGGCTGTTCCCCAGATCCGGCTGCCCCGATTGGGGAATTTGTCGCTGGGGTGGTTTGTTAATGTGTTAAATGAAGAAGGGTGGGCTGCCAGGGCAAGGGAGGCTGCCCCATCACATGGGGCTGGGGCTGGTGGCGTTTTGTTTGCTGGAAAGAGGGCGAGTGGGGCTGGCTGTGGGGACCCTGCGGTGCCTCGTCCCTCCCCACATCCTGGGGACCTCTCCGCAGTGCTCTGTCCCTCCCCGCACCCTGGGGACCCCGTGGTACCCCTTCTAATCCCCCAGCCACCCTGTGGCACCACATGCCAGGAGGAGAGGCTGGGGACCTGGTGGACGGGGGCTGATTGTTGCGGTTGTTCAGAAGCCATCCTCCATAGCTCTTGCCTGTCGGCACCAGGCTGTGTCATCATTAGCAAATGCCCTGTGGCTCGGACTGTTGGGCGGCCAACAGAGTGCAGGAGGGAGTCAGTGCTGGGTGCCAGGGCCCGGGAGCCTTTGCATGGGCAGGGAGAAGCCTCTGCCACTGCCCCAGCCGCTCCTGGGACCGTTTTCCACGGGTGGCCCAGGCAGGGGTGGCTCAGCCCAGCACCTCTCCCCAGGCTTGTGGGTTGGGTTCAGGCACAGCCGCCCTCCCCGCTGCCGGTGCCCCCTGCACCCCGTTTGCTGACACAGCCCTTTGTGCCGAATAACTGAATATTGCACTGGGATGCTGGCAAGGAGACACAGTACAGGGGGAGCGAGCACGGCCATGGCCGTGGTGCACAGGGAGCATCCCTCTGGCCCCGCATCTCCCTTCCCTGCCTGAAGTTGTCCCTTCCAGCTGGTTTCTCCCAGCAAATGCTTGTCCCTGGAGCACTTCCGCTTGGGGTGAGGATGGCCACCCCTTCTCCCTGCCGGGCCACGCAGCCTTTGAGTTATTTCCCATAGGCTCAGGGCCATGCCGGTGCCGGCTCGTCGCACCAGGCACAGGGGCTGCTGCATGGGTCCCCAGCCAGGGCTCTGCTGTGCTACAGCCATCCTCCTCTTCCTCCTCCTCCTGCTCCGGCTCCCCACTGGGGGCTTTCAGGTTCACTGGAAAGCCTGAGTGGCATTTTTCGGTTAAATCTTATGTAAATCTGGCTCCATCCTTCTTCATGGTGCTAATTGGATTGCCCCGAGCTGCTTCATTTTTCCCACACAGGCAGGTTTGGGGAGGGAGTGAGGCAGTGCTGGGCGGGGGGCTGCAGGGGACATGCCGGGTGTGTCGAGCTCCCTGCTCCGCCGAAGCAGCCCGGCCCAGTGGCTCCGGGCCGCACTGGGCTCCACGTGGCCATGCCGGAGTCCCAGCGATGCAAAGGAGCTGGGGAGGGAGCCCCCAGCGCCCCCCCGGCCTGCCGCTGCCCGCAGGCTTGGGCAGCCCCGCACGGCACCATGCTGCTCCACAGCCCGGGCTGCAGAGCTGCAGGGAACCAAAACCCTGGTGGGCAGGGAAACCTGGAGCTGCAGCCGCATCACCTCCTCGGTGTGCCCGGGGTCCCCGCCCCAGCCGCCTCCCACGCTGCTCTAATGTGCTGTCCCCTTCCCTCCCTCCCAGAGCTCCTCGGATCGGCAAAGAAAGTCAACGTCAACTTTCAAGACACCGACGGGTGAGTGAGAGCCCCGTGCCTGGGCATGCATGCAGTGGGGTGTGCGGGCAAGGGTGCATGTGCTGTGGGGTGCACAAAAAAGGGCGTGTGTGCCGTGGGGTGCCGTGAGCAGGGGGGTGCGTGCCTGGTGGTGCGTGCAGCACAGGGCGC